CACTCTGGAAATTATCATGCATAATATGAACTCCGGACTAGGTGCGTTCCTCTAAGTCTTCCTACCAATATGACGAAGTTGCGAAAACAAGGTCAAGCAACTTCTATGCAATGAATTGAAACTGCGACCATACATAAGGCCACACCATTTTGAGTTTCATACTTTCGGTTAAACTTGTTTATTTAGTTGCTGGCTTCTAGCCAATCAATCGCTACTTTTATATTAATTATCGTGAACTTTAAACTTTATTTCTGTGTGAATTAAAATGTAGTTTTTTTGGCACTACTTTTTTATTCTCAAGACAGCAAATCATATATATTTACATACTTTGCATGCCCCTATTGTAACTTACTGCAAAATATCGCTTAGGGTCCGAGTAAAATCGTCTTCGTTTTGCACATTTCCTTCCCATATGTTTATACTCGAAGGACTAGCGACTGTTCGTGAAGAACTCTGTTTTATACTTTGCCAGCAATATTTCCATGTTTTATTCTTCTCTATCAGAGATCTATGTATTGCTTCATCTTCCAGTTTCATATCTTTTTTGCTAGTATTTATTTTATTTTTGACAGTCTAAAACTTTGGCTACATGAGTTTGTTTTTATAAAAAAATTCCCTGTAGATATCGGTTTAGCCTAACTCATTTTCTTCAGATAATACATCGCGACCTTGCTGCCAGAAACATTCTGGTTGGAACTTCTTACAAAATGAAGATAGCTGACTTCGGTCTTACTCGTACTGTCGCCTACTACTACCGAAAAAAGACCGATGTGAGTATAATCTATTTCGAGGTTTTTACTTTGTTATAATCATTTTTTTGTATGAAATATTTATTGCCCTGAAGAGCATTTCTATGCAGCTCAAAATCGCCGCTAAGAACTTAAGTCATTCGAATAGATTTAATGTCTGGTAATTAAATTTTATTACACTTAATTGGGTAGACCTCATTATACCATTAAATTTCATTTTGTCTTGCCTCTTAATACGTTTTCTCATCTAGAGTTGATTGCAGTTTCTTTCTCAGCTAGGTCTTATCGTCACCCTCATTGAGATTAGAAATAGTGTCGGGCATCTATTGGCGATACAAACATGTGTCACTGATTCACAACACAGAATGTACTTCCAAGACAAACCCTGGTTCCTTTTTCTCGTTTATAATTAGTTTATCTATTGGCAAATATATTTGCTATTACAATCGGCGACATTGCTTTTGTATATTATGCCTACATACATACCCAGTCGAAAAATATTTCGTATTTAAAGTCACCCATCTCTATAACTGCAAGCGATTTTATTCTCTGTGTTAATTATATTTATTTTTATCTATTCTATATTATGCTTCCTTTGCCTCTGTTAAGGGTCGTCTGCCTGTCAAATGGATGGCTCCTGAGTCCCTTCTGGAACGTATATACACACAAAAAACTGATGTGTAAGTGCTTTATTATAATTCCTTTCACTAACAATAGATAGCTACTTTACTTTAATTTCCGATCCATTTTCTGAATTTACTAGCATACCGAATTCAGTATGTCATCACATCATCATTTTATACTCAAAATTTGCCCAAGTGTGTGTTTCTTAATGAATATATATAACCTTGCTTAGTCAGCTGAGAATATTTAATAGATCAGAGTTCGGGTTTTGGCTCGCTGGCATTCGCCATCCATTATTTTTATGGGAAATACTTTTAACATATTTAGTATCATCTTTATGTTTAGATAAGGGAATTCATCTGGGTTATTTTTTAATCGTTTTTCCAACTCTCTTCAGCACAAATTTGGCTACAGTATTGGAAGTATTCATATTTGAGCAGATTTCAGCCATTTAAGCCAAAATCATTATTAGTAATTTATAATTTTACTTATCAAAATTCATTTGAAGATACTTTCTTTATTTGTTCAGATATTGCCAGTAGATATATTATATCCAAAGCGTAGTATTTATGAAAGCCTTGGCTTCAAGGCTTTTATATAACTGATTTTCCCCTACACTTGCATCATTATTTTATATGCTCTAGTAGTGTAGCATTTTAAACTGGTCTTGCTATTACGCTGTTAAAAAACTTGATTATGCCAAAATGAATTTTACTTAATTTCACATTTTTTATGCTTTTCCTGTAGTCACTCAAGCACTTTGCTTTCAAATCTATCTGAATATGCGACCTACCATTCGATTATTTTGCTTGATTTACCAGTATAGACTTGAATCTTTGAATGCATTAATGATCCAAATACTGAATTTCTGATAATGTATTTGAAAGGCTCTCGGTT